CCGGTGGAAGAGGCTTCAAGCGATGACGACAATGAATTCGGGCTCGTCATCAAGAAGTTTCACAAGTTCATGAAGAAGGAATTTGAGCGGAAGGGAAGGAAGCACGACGGTCCTCCCAAGTGCTACGGCTGTGGCGAGATTGGCCACATCAAGCCAAGGTGTCCAAAGGCCAAACACGGCAAGGACAAGTCTGGCTTCAAGAAGCAAAGGGCCTACATCTCTTGGGGTGGCGATTCCGGCGACGAATCAACCGACCAAGAGGAGGACGAAGCTGCAAATCTCTGCCTCATGGCACACGAAGATCAAAGCAACGACGTCCAAGAGGTATGTAACATTTCTTCCAACTCTTATACTTTTGAAGAAATGCAAGAAGCACTTCATGAACTCTATGAGGAATTTGTTAGCGCTTCTAAAACAAATAAATCTTCGAAGAAACGACTTTCTTTACTTGAAAACGATTTTGAAAGATTGGAAAAAGAAAATGAAACACTCAAACAAGAAAACAAGTTTTTCGGAAAAAGAAGCGCTGACAAACCAGAAAGCTCATCAAGTGAATGTGGGTCTTGCAAAGCTTTAAAAGAGCAAGTCGCTAAACTTGAGAGCACGGTCAAGAAATTTAATACTCCTCATAAAGACTTAAATTTACTTCTTGACACTATGCATTTTTCTAAGGAAGGAATATGTTTTGATAAAAATAAAGCTAAAGATAATGTTGAGCCACCACCTAGACAATCATCTAAGGTTCAACATAAGAAACCTAAAAATCAAGATAATAGAAAACCTAGTCAACCTAAGGACACTAGAAAACCTAGACTAAAACCTAGGAATGAAAACGGCCATGGTAGATAACCTAAGAAAAATGATTTTGCACATAAAAATGAATTTTCTCAAATAAGAAGAAATAATGCTAGAACACCTAGAAGAGGCCAGTTTCAAAATTTCCAAAAACCATCATTTTCACAAAATAGGAACAAAATGGTTAAACCTTCTAACTATTATGAACCTAGTCACATGTACAACCCCAATGTAGTTTGCCATTATTGTAATAGGATAGGCCATATTGCTCCCGTTTGTTACACTAGGCATAGGCACGTGTCACAAAATCAAGCACACTACCATCACACACCTAACACCCGAGGACCCAACGTAAATTGGGTACCTAAAACTCATTGATGTGTTTTATAGGTGTGCTTGAAGGCATCAAGTGTACTTTGGTACCTTGATAGAGGATGCTCCAAGCACATGACTGGGGATGCATCCAAGTTTCTCCAAATCAAACCTGCTAAAGGAGGAAACGTAGTTTTTGGAGACAATAGCAAGGGAAAAATTATCGGCATTGGTTCAGTAGGTAAATCTGAAAACTCCTCTATAGATAATGTCTTGCTTGTTAAAGGTCTTAAACACAATATCTTGAGCATAAGTCAATTATGTGACAAGGGAAACCGTGTGACCTTCGATTCAAAATCATGCACGGTAGAACGCCTTAGTGATAATAAGGTCATTCTACGTGGTGATAGAATCGATAACATATATATGGTTAACTTAGACAAATCTCCTTCCGGCTTTGCTAAGTGCCTCATGAGTAAAGAGGAAGACACTTGGTTATGGCACCGAAGGGTAGCTCATATGAACATGAACCTTTTGAACAAATTGGTTTCACAAGACTTAGTAATTGGCATTCCAAAACTTAAGTTTGAAAAAGAC